AAGGGCTCTTTTGGGAGGTGACAAGTGGTATCAAAACAGATTACTACCTGTCAGATGTGCAGACTCTTCATGGTCAAGTGGGACCCTCGGTGGAGCCGATCCGTGACGAGGGCGTCACGTGATTGGGTGGAGGAGAATGTCACGGACAAATAGTCCCACATCGGCTAGGTGTAGGGCCTAAAAGCAGTATTTAAGTCCTGGGTTGCCCACCACCCATAAGAGCTCTTTTGGGAGGTGACAATGTGCTATCTTCCAACTTGGAATTATAACTCGTGAGGCATTTGTGATTGAGAAAAGGTGGCATTTACCTACATATCACCCAATCTCTATGTATTCACATATCTAAGATCCAAACTCCACTTTCTACATACGTGCCACCGCACAATTTTTCTGTGCTTGCATAACTCGACTTTCATGTGAAAAAAAAATGACAATATCACCGGCAAAATATACCTTTCTTATACATAGGTTTAAAGCATCAAAATGCTACATGTGCAAGTATTGAAGTTTTGTTGTGAGGTACATGAGTACATAAGAATGACAAGATATGCACATATGTAAGGTTACCCAGCAATCTAGATATTTTCAATCATCAAAAGAGATTCAAAGATGGTATTCGAACTACTTCATAGCACAAGCCACCTTAAAGTTTGGTATAGAATGCAAGCTTTAGGAGTTAGATAGGCATATGTTTGGACGATGAGTGGGTATGCATGCAATTACATTAGAATTGCATTGAAGTTTCAGGTTTTGAATATATAAATGCATGGAAATTTCAAATTTTGTGCATAGAAACAAATAAAAGTTTCAGAATTTCCTTCTGCGAATGTATAAGAATTTCAAGTTTTTATACATAGAAGTAAATAAAAGCTTCATAAATATGTGAAGAAAAGCAGAATTACACATCATGATTTTATAGCTGCATGAAATCGTGAAGGAAACAATGCACAATAAATAGAAGGGAAGTCTACATACACATTACACAACACAATTCCATTGTATTTACATTTCTAACACCTAAAGATCGATATTTTCATGGCATTATGAAACCAAGCACGAAAAAATTTTGCTCACTTTTAGTTGTAGTGATATCTTTGATGTGTCATTAAAACTTAGTGTCAGGTATGTGAATATGAAGGTTTGGACATTAGATATGCAAATACATACGAATTGTTTGCTATGCATCTAAATACCCCAAAACTTTTCATATCATTACTCACAACCTTAAGGACATAAGTGAGCCCATGCATTTGATGTATAACTAGATCAACACCCATTTAAGTTAAAAGAATTGAAAACTTTCGTAAATGTGCGTTAATATAAAAGTTTAGGTGCAATATATATAAATGCATAGAAATCAGGTGCTTTACATGTGAATGCCCCTACCAAATTATGGCTTTGGGATGTTCTTCAATAAATCATTCCATTCTCTACTTGAGCATACCTCCTGTGAATCCAAAAATTATATTTGATATTGTCTGATAAAATATTTTTTCAATTGATCACTTCCAAACTACATTACATAATCGAGACAGTTCGTGATCCTGCAACCTCGATAGAGATCAAATCATGGCAGGAAGTAAAAGCAATGAGTCAAAAGCAGTGGTGAGGTGCTGAATATAATAGCTTTGTTTTTGCCGGTGTCTGTCCTGTTTCAACCAATAATAATACGAAGGAATGCCATATGGCCTATGGAGCATTCTCCCCCTCCTTTTTTATTGAGTTGTAGTGTGTGGAACTGAAGACTTGCATGTTAATTAAAGAAGATTGATATACATGCCACTCAATTCCAATACATTTGCATACTTAACGCCTAAACCATAAATATTACATACCATGGTAACTGAGCCATACATTAAAAGGTGTACGTCTCTTTCTCTTTTTTTTTTTATTGGATGGATGATGGCAGCTTTTATGTGATATGAGAAATTCGATTGCCATGAATGTAAAAGCAAAACTTTGATATCAGATATATAAGTACATGGGAATTGGATGAAGTGTATGTAAATAAATTTAAACCTGCATCGAGATCAAGGTAGAGACTATCATGCATGAAAGTGCTTGAACAATACAAACCACAATTCCTCACAAGAAGCTTCCCAGAACGAGCGGGAAGGAGAATGGCATCTTGCCACCCGTCGAGAGCATGGGAGTTGGGGTTCTAATGTTTGGGGGAAAGTATTACCACCGGAGATCGGGTGCGTGTTCTTCTCCTCTATCGTGTGGTCACGCAGCGGAGCAACCCCTTCCCTCCATCTCCCCATCCGCTCTTCGCCGCTCGCTATATGGAATTAAGGGCTTATTGGGGCAGGCCGTGTTTTGAAAATGCCTCTATGCCGTTTGGTTACAACGTTCGGAAAGTCCTTTAAAAACTATTACCACCGGAGATCGGGTGCTCTTCTCCTCTATCGTATGGTTCAGCGGTTCGGTTTTTGTTGTTCAGGTTGTTCTTCGCCGCACCCAAAATTAATATTATTTTACAAAAAAAAAAAAAAACAAAACAAAAATCATTTTATGCATTTACTCGTCATTTTTACAAATTACAAGAATCAAGCATAAAACTCTTGTTCCCCACTATGAGCTCTTTGTTTCCATTTATGCATTTAAATTGAAGCACGTCGCTTGAAGCATGTAACTTTGAAGCATATCCTGATCAGATGCATCACCATTACTGTCACATTCAATCTGTTCTTTCTTGATTTTCGGATCAAAAGTCGATTTAGATTCTACAAAACAGAACCAAGGAAAAAATGATTATTTTCGTTTAAGACAAACAAAAATTGATTATGTGATAGCATTATAACAAAATCTTAACTATCAGACATCCATAAAAAATATACAGCTCAAACGATTAGAAGAACAAGTTCGTTGTACTTAACGGAACAAACAATACGCTCAAGCGACAGTAGAGCATTATGAATATTAACAAAATGCTGTCTGTTAAGAATAACCTAAACCAAAAAATTAAAAAAAAAAACAATTAAACATATGGAAAGCAGAAAATTGCATGGCAACAAAGTGACATATTTATAAGACACATTTCTCTTAATACAATGGAGTCCAACTCGCCCAACTTGAATGCCTGATAGCTACATCTGTGACCAAAGAAGAATTAGAACTAAGGCTCTTTTGGTGAAACAGATCATATTATGCAACCATTATAAAATAAAAATTAAAAGGATAATCCGTTTGGTAGGCTTATTTTAAGAGCATAACATTACCCTTTCAGGAGGAACACCCCATAATTTAGCAAATTCTTCGACAATCAACGACCGACTTTCAAATGTGAGTAAGAAAACCACGAAAAAAATAACAATAATAAAACATTATGGGGGTAAAATAAGTAATTTAACTAGGTTATCTATTTTTAGTTAATCTTTAAGAGAAATTTACATACCTAGCACACAATTCTTATGTATTATGTCAATACATTAGAATTGTATGCCTTAAAATTTATGTCGTTGGTGCGTCATGGAGGGTTTTCTCATGTCTCTCTTTCTTTATTGGAGAACTCATAACAATTTATTCGAAGGAAAGAAATAGCATTAGTATTATGATTAGTTTTCACAAAAATAAAAGTTAGAATCTTGCTTTGCAACAGTTGTGAAGTCGGAGCACCAAGGCCATCTTCTTCAATTTGTTCATTATTGAAAACTGCTTAAGGCCAGATAGAACAACAATATCCCAACAAGAGGCACTAAACAACACATAAAACTTGTATTGCCTTCCAAAATTAAGAGTAAAAATAATCATATTAGACAATTTTTTATATTTTTATGTTAAAATAATTGTAAATTTGTGTTGCATTCTAAAATTAAGAGAAAAAATAATCATTTTAGGCAACTTTTTATATTCTTATCTTAAAATGTTTACAAACTTGTGTTGACTTCTAAAATTAATAGTAAGAATAATCATCTTAGGTAACTTTTTATATTCTTATCTTAAAATAGTTACAAACTTGTGTTGCCTTGAGTAACAATAACACATTATTTAGCATGTGGGACCATATATTCTTTAATGATAGAAGTTTAAGATAGGATAAAGAGGTCTTTTCTTCATTTAAGATCAAGGTTTTGGCTTTTTAAAGCTGAGGATTGAGTATAGAAAAATCAAAATATAACAACCTAAATAAATCCATGTACCCAAGCATAATCCTGAAAACACCATGACTCCTAGGAAATATGAAATTAATATATAAAAACCTAAATCTATATTCAATCACTAACTGTCCAACCACTTGAAACATGTTGACATATTAGACAACCAATGTATAATGACATGCATCCCAATAGTTTAAAAATCGAGTTTATCTGCACTGAATGGAAACTTTTAATATGCTGCACATTGAGATAAAGTTAATTAGCAGTCATTCCTTTTCAAGCTTACTTAACCACTTAATTATGCACTGAATGTTTTCAAAAGCAACTCAAGGGTTTGATTTGAGCTTGATTTGACTCGGATTGTACCAGTTTCTATATTGTTGTGTCCGTCTCGTCGAGCGATCAATTTGACTTTAAGTTTGCTAAAATTAGAATTCTAAATGAATTTAATTGAAGTTTGAATGTTTTTTTGTTAAAAATTTAATTTTAAGATTCAAGCCAAATGCTGAGAATTATGTCGGATGATAAAAATTTGTTAATGATGTATCAAGAATGATATAATAGTAATAGTTTTAAAAAATAAAATAATTTATCAATATTTATAAGGAATTGAATATAATTAAACTGCGAACATAAAAATTTATGGTAATATGTTGATATAAAGTTATAAACTTTAAGAAAGCTAAAGCAATAGTAAATATGCTATAAAATAGAAATAAATCAATAACATATTCTATATCCTTCCCCTTGCTTGACAGGCAGCACTGCGAGGCATATTCATTAAAAGAAAAAGAAAAAATATAAAAAAAAAGAATCTGGATAAATACTAAATTTACTAAATTTGGACTGCATATTTTCCTCGTTTCTCCTTCTCCTTTCCTGTTTCTCTGAGTCGCTTTTCCGCCATTCTACCCAATTTCTCTCATCAATCAATTCCTGTCCCCTCTGCTCAGTTGCCCCAAGGCATTGTAGCGATTCATCGCACCTCTTCTCACTCTGTGTCCGGAATTCTTCATCGGCGTTTTTGGGAGAGAGGATTTGTAATTTGGGACACAGGCTGAAATGACGAAGGTGCCGCTGCCACAGTCGCCGACAGGCTTTGTGACCTACGAGCCGGAGCACGTCATGAACTATAGGGGTGGATCAGTGCTGGGGAAGAAGACCATTCTGAAGAGCGACCACTTTCCTGGATGCCAAAACAAGCGCCTCGCTCCCCAGATTGACGGCGCTCCCAATTACAGGCAGGTCTGGCCTCATTTCTCTCTCTTCAAACTCTTTGAGGTTTGGTTGGCTCTTGCTTTAGTTTCCATCTTTCTGTGTCCGTTTTTATTGCGATTACTGCGATGAGGCGGTCCTTTTTGTTGCATAACGATTCAATCTGCATGCGAACGTTACTGTGACTCTGTGAGAAGGTTGCATCGGATGCAAGGGCATTCTTGTAACGGTTATGCTTGCATGTAGAGCGGTGCAGATTTACTTACGGACTTTTGTGACTTTTAATCAACGTAGAACTTTGATTTAGGGAGTTTTGTGACATGTTATTAGGGGACTAACTATTCTTTGCTCTGGTTATGCGGTTTTTGTGGGCTATTCCGGATCGATAATTCCACTATGGTTTGGTTTTTGTCGAGCAAAGGGATGTTAATGCTTATTGAGTTTTCTTTATTGTCTTTTGAAGGATTATCTGTCGTGTTGCACGAGAATTGTGTTGAATGTCTGTACAACGTAATCATGAAGTAATGGAAGGTTTGTTAGCTAATGAAGACTTGCTAGCTAATGAGAGTTAAGGTTGTACTTCCGGTCATCCAGTACGAGGGATGCATTTTCTTTAAATAGACGTAGTCTCTCACATAAAGAGATTTTTGATAATTGTATATAGTTTAGGGTCTCCGATATAGATAGTGTAAGTGTCTCAAGAGTCGGGGTAGACCGAAACAAGGGACTTGATAAAACGAATGGCATGACAAGCAATGTTCCTTCATTTTGTCTCCCCCTTGAGCTTGATCCCATCACCACCGAGCTCATTTACCTCATTTTCTGGCTCTTTCTCAGCTAACCCTTCCCACACAACGACACGAGGCATTGTTCCCACATGTACCAATCTCTCCCATCACTACTTTACCCATCTCGCCTCATACCTCCAGTATCTGGCAAGTTACTGAAGAGTGAGACCATCTCCAAGGTAATATGACTTGAATTCTCTAAATGTCACATTCATACTCACAAACAATCTCTTCTTTATTGAACTACAACAAACATACCCTTTATGGGTGAGGTGGCAGAATAATCCACGAAAACACACTTCATAGCTCCGGGATCCAACTTCCCTATTGATGATTTATTATCCTTCACAAAATATACACAGTCAAATATCTTCAATAGGAGGATCTCATCATTATCTTCTTTCAACAACTCACAAGGAAATTGTCATTCAAACACACTTGAAGACATTCTATTGATCAATTGATCGGCTATGAAAACTGTTTGCCCACACAATGCTTTGGGACATTCATCGAGATTATCATACTTCGGGTTACCTCTGAAAAATGCCTATTCATCTTCTCTGCTACTCTGTTTTGTGTCGGTGCGTATGGACATGTGGTTTGATGATGTATCCCTTGGGCTAACAGGTACTTCCCAAATGTCTTGTTGGTATATTTCATCCTATTATCAGACCTCAATACATTCACTACTACATTGTATTCTGTTTGAATCGCCTTGTGAAAATATTTAAAGCTGTCAAACACATCATTTTTGTTTCTCATCTGACATAACCAAGTAACACGAGAAAAAATCAACAAAAATCACAAAATATCTTCAGTCATTCAAAGATGTTGAACAAGGTCAATATACATCTAAATGCATCAAATCAAAAAACACAAGAACTCATATTATCAAAACTAGCATAAGAGCTCCCGGTAAGCTTACTAAACACACAAGCATCACACATAAGTTTTTATTTTTTTTTCATACAAATACGAGTACAAACGACTCAATAGACTAAGCGAAGGGTGTCTCATGCGCTTGTGATGTAACAACAACACATATTTCACACTCTTCTCGGATTCTCCTACTCCAATACTCTCTATCTTGAATGTCAAGGCTGAGTCTATTCATTCTCTATCCAAGTATTAGAGTCCATTATGTCACGTGTCAGTCAAAAGTCCTTGGTGAGCTCTCTTCTCTTGAGATCACCTCATGAATATCAAATGAAACAACACATTTTAGCTGGACTATAAGGGCACAAATGGATAAAATATTCACGGGAAAGGAAGAAGCATGCAACATATTATACTGTCATAAAATTGGTACACCTCATTGTACTAATACCAAGCACATGCTGTGTTGTACCATCAATTGTTTGAATACTCTATGGAATTTCTAGATGAGCATAGAAAGAGAACTAACTAGCAGTACCAGTCACATGCCGAGATGCACTATAATTTATTACCTATTTTGATGATCTTGTAGTGAATATAGAGACAAGAGTATGTGTATCACGAGTACCTTTGTATGAGTGAGCATGAGTAACAGTGTTCCCCTTGGATAATGATAAGATAGATGCATCCTCAATCACATCACATGCCGCTCTGCTTTCCCTTCAACATCTCCAAGAACTTGTGATCCTCATCGGTAAAGACCACACGTCTCTCTCTCAGTCTCCACCACTATCAGATTTGTCTGGTAGCCTCCTCTTTCACCTCTTTGGCCCACAAAACCATGACCATGGCCTCTAGATTGTTCACGTACATCTGTCTCTCTCTCCTTAGGTAGCTTTAGACAAGTCTTGCTTAGATGTCTAACTTCTCAGCAGTTTCAGCACCTGCGAGTCTCCCTCTAGGCACCTTTCATACCTGAGCTCGAGCAGCCAAAGCTGATCGCATATCTGGAAGTCCACACGGATGATAGTGTAATCTCATGCTATTCTCCTCCTGTACCATCGCGGTGATGGCCTCATCCAGTAAAGGAATCATTGCCTGGGTTAGGAGGATCGACCTCCTCTGATGAATGGTCGGATTTAGATGAGCCAGAAACTACACAGTCCTCATGAGGTTATGTTCTCAAGATCTTGCCATAGTCGCTCCATCTCTATGAAGTACTCTTGAATTGGTCTATCACGTTGTACCACAACCACTGTCATGTTAAATCTGAAACACCCTCATGCGGTTCTCAATTCTAGCATAGGTTTTCTTTAACTTTGCTCAGATGTAATTCACCTTTCAAATGTCGTCCACTGATGAGGAAATCGTTGGAACCATCAAGTTGAGAAGCCAGTGTAAAGTAAAGCATGTGTGGTCCTCCACCCATCCACTTCAGCACTATCACCCACTGGCTCAGCCTTGACTCGCATCGGATATCTCTGTAGTCTCTTTACTACTATAGCAGTCTCGATCCAATGCGACCAACTCAGATACGTGACTCATACATCAAGCTTCAAATCTACAAAAGGGAGATCTAGCTTCACCTGTATCGAAGCACTTGTTGAGGTAGTGTTTCACATCAAAACACTAGCTCCCTATATGAGCTCGATCAAGACCTTCAAAACCTCATAATCTATCTTCCCCAAAAGCCGCAATCCTTTACCTACGACACCATCTCCTTCTTTTGACATCCTTAATCACAAGGAATCAAGCCAAGATTATACACGACTTCCTTCCTATGCCCCGCAAGCAAGACCAGTCCGTAGCTTTACTGCCCTGCTCCTTCCGCTCTTGGTCGCGTACGAAGCCTCCTCACCTTTTCCGTCATCTTTTGTCGCTTCGGGCCATAACTGTACGTATGCCCGAGATCCTTCCTTCTCAGTTTCATGAGGACAACTCAACCGAAGTCGGAATCCTTCCGCCTCCTTCAGAATCAAAGCCGTTTGCACTCCCTCTGTCTTTAGAATCCCACGAAACTGTAGGATCTCTCCCTTGTGCGCCGAAGCTGTTCCATTGTTCACCGCTCCAAGCCCTTGGCCTCACGCGCGATCTTGCTCTTCCCTAAAGACGTCGTTCACTCCTTCGCACTCGACCCAAACTCTTGTCGCTCTCCCCACAGTGAAGTCGTAGTCCCTGCTCTCTCGTGACACAGAACAACTGAAGCTTTGCAAACTTCCCTCCTCGTTCCCCACGACTCTGTTGATCGCACGCCACAACAGAGTCGATTTCACGCTTTTGTTCACGCTAGCTGTTCAAATCGTCCTCCTATCTCCAACAGTCGAAGCCTTCGCTTGTCAAGTTAGTGGGAAAGCAACGAAGGAATCGCTTCATACAGAGACCACCGCGCGTGAGCCCTTCACACCTTTCGACATCGAAGACTCTGTCATTCCTCTTTTCCTACCCGAATCCCTAGCGATACAGTTGGGCTTAGTAGCGGCGGTAGTGTTGTTGGAGGGAATTTTTGGGAAGTATTAGACTTTAATGTTGGAAGAAGTTTTGATGATTTAAAACTTTGTACTTCATTTACTTCTTGATTTGACAATTAAGATGTTAATTTATATTGTAAAAACATGTAAGATCCGAGATGATATTGTCTCAGTCAACAAATGGTTTGAATCACATATTGATTTTATGGATGATAATATAGTTCATGGGGTTGAGTGTAAATAAATAGGGAAATAAACTTTTCAAGAGTGTATAATTAGAGAACTTTAGAGTGACAGATTAAAACCTCAAATTTGATTTATAATTTTAGGTTTTGATATGAGATGTTAGCTCCCAGGTGGAGGGAGAAGAGAGAACTCTAAAGTGAGAGCTAGTATCTTTCTTACCTAACCGGTCTTCATGATTATTCAAAATATAGATTAACTGATGTTATTTATAGCATCTCTAGTAAGAGTAAATATTATTATTACTCATATTTGACACAACACATTTAATATACTTCCACAACAGAATTTCTATACTTATTACTGATTTATGCTATGAAAAAAAAATATTTTACTTATATTAATTTTATCAAGCAAATATTTAGTTAAGTTAATTCGTTGCTTACTTTACTTTCAATTATCAAAAATTAAAAAAATAATCGAATTTTCATTCATATTATAGTATCTTAAGTTTAAGTTAGATTATTTTGCTAAGTAGGATTTTTGTTATCTAAACTTTCTAGTTTTCTAAAGTGCATATTGTCAGTTTCTCCGTGGGTTCGATATTCGTGGCTTATTAAAAAAATCCAATATTATTTGATAATAATACGTATACTTGCGTAGTATCTCATCTTTAAATATTATAACTGTATTCTTATTTGCTTCATAGTGAATA